CCGACTTTAAGATGTAATTAATGACAAGGGAGAGTGGTAATAAATGACAATCTGCAGTATGACAAGGAAGTAAATGGCAAGCGTGTACATGTAAAGATAAATGTCTGTGTAAACAGTCTGCAGAGTAACCAGACTTCACTCTCTTCAAACACACTTGGGCTGTGTGCAGAGGCCCTTTACAATAGTACTTACAGTCCTACTACATTAAATATACAAGGTAGAAATCTTCAGAGTAACACTAAGATAATAAAATTGAGCATATAAATTCCAATGAAATTTTTAAAATACCTAGAATAAAAGATCCTCTTCACACACATTTTTGAAAATGAAGAGAAAAAAGAGATAAAATGGCACAGATAGATTTATTTACATACATTTAAATATGTCAGTGATTACAATGAATATAAATGGAATAAATTTGTCAACTAAAGGATATAGTGTCATACTGCACAAAATAACAAATTTTAACAAAACATTATGCAGAATTTACATCTATAATGTAAAGAGGGAGAAAGGTTAAAAACAAGCTAAACAAGACATTTTGCTTTGTTATTTGCAATACACATTTCAGAATTTTTTAGATTTGATGTCCAAAATATTCAGTTCTTCAAATACTTTTATTTGGGAGGAGGAAGAAAGGACTAGGTGTTTGGGTTCATTGTAAAATTGGCTAAATATTACGCCTGAGACCAGCCTGAGTTACAGGAGACCCTGTATTTAAAAAAATGAAACAGAAAAAGTTGAAGCAAAGAAAAGATAACAGAAAAAAATAGGTAAAAGCTAATAGAAAAAGCTGAGATAGTTATCTTAATAATTGTAAAAATAGATCTTCAGACAAAGTACTATAGGAGTTAAAGAAGATATTGATAAAAGTTAATTTAAATGTTTTCTGATTACTTTATTGCTTTAATAATTAATATCCTTCCCCTAAAATAGAAATGGGGGTGAAGATTTTAGATAATTTAAGTAGATTCAATTCTGAATTTGGTAATTAGAATCTATGTCTTTAGCTTTTACTCTACTATCAAGTTGTATATATCTGAAATATAATAACAATTTTGTTGGCCTAATTATCAATTTATGAACTTACATAGTTTACATTATTAGTCGCCAATTGACTTCTCCATTAAAGTTGTTCTGCATGAAAGCATTTGGAAAGAATGAACACAGCCAAGCACACCAAATTTAAACATGTGACTATCTGTTAGCCACACACTATTCTGAGCGTCCGCATCAGCCAGCAGAGCCACAACTCTATAGACTTCCTCCCAGACACTGCTACTCTGAAGGAGTGGAAGGCACCTGTTAGTAACTCTTCCTCTCGTACTGATGCTCCCCTGACCTAAGCTGTTGTTCCTAAACCCCAACAGTCTATCTCTATTGACACTTTTTGAAATGTGTGATAAGCACATAGCAGCTGACCTAGGAATAGACTCTTGTATACAGCCTATTAGCAACATGCCAGGGAAGCTGACATTAAAGAAAACCAGCAGAGGGCAACTTCCTCATAGTACAAAGAACACAGTCACAAATGGACCCTTAGTATACAAGTACAATTTAAACTGTAGCTAACAGAATATATTTTCACAGCTATTTAAAATTTACTGTAGGCATTTTTAGAAAAATAATGTGTTGAAAAAGTAAAACTAATTAAAATGCATTGTTACAGTTTGGAAAATAGGAGAACGTGACAGGCTCTCACCCTTCGGTTTTTCTACACTTGATTTTAGGCAAACAGAAACAACAAAATAACTGAGATACAATTAAATTTTATGTCTTTTGCAACATACAATTTTTAGAATCTGTACATTAGGATTTCCAAAATACTCAGTCTTTCTAATCATCCCAGTTTTTAAAGTCAAATAAATGTAAATGAAATAATAAAATTCAGAAATAAGGTCTTAAAAAATGCCAGAGAGTGGAAGTCGCTGAGGTCCTTGTGCTCACAGATGAACACTAGGGGAAACCACAAACCTTAAGCACAAGGGGTGGTCCCTTTGAAGGGAGTGATTCATTTACAAGCTGTTTTCTGCCCAGAAGGCTGGCAGTGGACATGGTGGACAGCCTGGTGACCTTTGCACTATCTGTGTGGCTGAGAACACATGAGATTCTCCCAGAATCTTACCATGAGCTTGTCAATCTATATAACCCATATGTATGGAAGATGTCACATGTACTTTATAGAGACTTTTGATGTAGTTATTATTATTATTAATAGCTTTATTATTCACACGGAATTGAGCTATTTATCAAGCAAAATTTTTGCTAAAGTGTGCTGTGCTAAAATAAGCTTAAACTACTCAGGGTGGGAGTCTCCAAATTTGAACCAACACCTACTTACTTAGTCGTATTGAGCAAAACAGCCTTCTTGCCTCTGGGGGATCATTACCTCTGCTGGTCACCCCACCCCCTGCCCCACACCACAGTAAGGAATAAAATGGTTTCTATATTTCCGTAAGTTATCACAATATTTTCTATTATCTTATTAAGTGCTTAAATTTTCTGGGTTATAACACACATAAAGAAGACAAACAGTGAGCATTATCACTTTATGAATATTCACAAAGCAAGCATATCCATATTATTGACAAACTGGAGCCGCCATCACTTGACAGGTCTCACTACATAGCCTGGCTAGCCTGCAACACACTACGTAGACATGGCTTCAAATGCAAGAGCTCCTCATGAGTCTGCCTGTGCTGGGATTAAGGACCTGCAACACCATACCACACCCCATCCCATCTTTAATTTTTTAAATGATTTATTTTATGCGTATAGGTATTTTGCCTGCATCCATGTGCGCGCGCGTGTGTATGTGTGTGTGTGTGTGTGTGTGTGTGTGTGTGTGTGTGTATGTGCGTACCACATGCATACCTGGTGACATGAATCACCTGGCACTGGAGTTACAGACAGTTGTAAGCTCCTAAGCACTGAGCTATTTCTCCAGGGCCCCCGCCCATCTTTAATTTTTAAGATGATAATAAAAGTTAAGAAATAAAACGGTTGAGACTACAAAAAGGCAGAGAGATACATAGAAAGGAGTTAAGAGCAACTAAATCCGGTGAGGACACACTGCAGAAGTGGAAGGACGTCTTTATAAGCAACAGGATTCTCTGTCTTCCCAACACGAGGAAACAGCCTCAACATGACAGCTGTCTAATCTATATAGTTTGTCCTAATTTCCACAGTCCTCATCCTACCTGTGGTTGGAGTGAGGATGGCCCTCATAGGCTCATGTATGTGAATGGTCAGTCATCAGAGTGACACCACTTGAGAAGGATTAGGAGGTGCAGCCTTGTTGAACGAAGTGTGTCACTGGGTGGGCTTTGAGGTTTCTCTGCTCCTGCTGCACTTTGGATCCAGATGCAGAACTCTCAGCTATTTCTCCAGCACCGTGTCAGCCTCCTATGCTCCCTGCCATGACGACAATGGACTAAACCTCTGAAAATGTAAGCAACTCCCAATTAAATGCTTTCTTTTATGAGTTGCTGTGGTCATGGTGTCTCTTCACAGCAACAGAATGCTGGCTAAGTCATTACTTTTATATTTTAAAAAAAATTAAAAAAATAAAAGTTTGGCAACGTTATAAAATTCTCAGTGTACAGAACAACTTTAAAACTGACAAAAGTTGGCAAGTATTACAGCTTTCTTTCCCTAATAGGCAGGTCAGGACTGCCGTCTAAAACTGGTCATTGTTGGGGGAACATTTGATTCTGGGTTTAGACGCAGCACCTAAAGTTAATAAAGATGCAGGAGAGAGTTCAGAGACTCTTAACCATCTTCGACCCTGTTAAGTACAAGTCTTCCTCAGATTCGGGTTCTTAAATGTTTTCGCTGTCTAGAACAACTTGTGGATAATGACCCCTTTAGGGTTGCATATCAGATATTCACATTATGATTCGTAACAGTAGTAAAGCTACAGTTACGAAGTAGCAACAAAATTTTACGGTTTGGGGGTCAGCGCAACATGAGGAACTGTATTAAGGGGCCCAGCATCAGTTGAGAACCACACTGCTCCAGAACCTTTTCCTAGCTCAGTTACTCTGTATTCTCAGTGATGTCTGCCACGGCAACTTCCCCAGTTACCAAGTACACGCAAGCCTGTTTCATTTAGAATTTCTGGACGATCAAACGAGCCCCAGGCAAGATCAGCAGCACTGGATTCAGGGAAAAGGTTCCACGGAACCCCAGCGTCCCTGGTACCCAAAGGAGGCAACAAAGAGCACGGAGCGCGCTCCCCTGCCGCGGCTCTGATTTCAGGAGCGTGCTGTCGCAGCTGGCCGAGGTCTTCTCCGAGATTCCTCTCCAAGCGTGGGCAACCCGCACGGGCCGCTCCCACCACAAAGAGTACACCCTCCGCATCCGTCACCAGGGCAACCCTGCCACCCGACACCGAGGCTGTCAATACCACGTCCGGAGCCGGCGCTGGAGGAGGGCGCACGGTGGCCCCGCGTGCGGAGCGCCGGCGGCACCCCACGGCACCCATTCGAGCTGCCTGGCCTGAGGCTCCAG